ACAAGGAAAAACGAGGGGAAAAGATAGTTGGGTTTTTATTTGTTTTGTTTTGTTTTGTTTTTTTGCTGGGTTTTTTTTTGGGTATGCTCTTTATGCCACTGGAGAAAAAAAACAAGGAGTGGAAAAGATAGCTCTTTGTTGTGTCTGTTGTTGTTGTTGTTGTTGTTGTTGTTGTTGTTGTTTTGTTTTGTTGGTTTTTTCTTTTAGTAAGCTCTTCACGCCACTTGAGAAAAAGAGAAACATAACGGAAAAAGATAGTGGGTTTTTAAAGTTATTTTTGGGGTTTTTTTTTGGTTTGGGTGGAGGGGGGGGGGGCTGTTGTAGTTGTTTTGTTAGGTTTTTTTTTTTAAGTTTGTTTTTGTTTTAGTTAGCTTTTCATGCCACTTGCAACACAATTCTTAGCTTATAAATGTGCCGAAGATTACAATTGTTATAAGAGAGTAACAAACACAAAAAGTAGGAGGAAAGATGAAGGCGGTAGATGTTTGATAATAGAACATGGAGCAAACCACACAAGAGCACCTGCCAACCGTCCATACGAATCATAAACTGATCATTATTGTTAAAGATTCAGAAAAGGATTTGAATGAATTGTCAGATTCGCAGATTATAAATAATAGCCAAAGGGAAAGCCATTCAGATAACAATCGCACGTTAATAAAAAAGATAGTGTTGTTTCCCTTTTCATCAGCTGTGTCCAACCATGTATGGTAAGCTGTTTTGTCACAATTGCTTATATCGAACTATGTATGGTTGTGATTGCTGGTGTCGTCGAACCATGTAAGGCAAACTGCTTTGCTACTATTGGTAATTTTGAACTATGTATGGTGAGTTGTTTTGTAATAACAGCTAATTTTGAACTGTGTATGGTAAGTTGTTTTGTAATACCTACTAATTTTGAACTATGTATGGTAAGTTGTTTTGTAATACCTGCTAATTTTGAACTATGTATAGCAAGCTGTTTTGTAATAACAGCTAATTTTGAACTATGTATGGTAAGTTGTTTTGTAATACCTGCTAATTTTGAACTATGTATGGCAAGTTGTTATTTAATAACTGCTAATTTTGAACTATGTATGGCAAGCTGTTTTGTAATAACTGCTAATTCTGAACTATGTATGGTAAGTTGTTTTGTAATACCTGCTAATTTTGAACTATGTATGGCAAGTTGTTATTTAATAACTGCTAATTTTGAACTATGTATGGCAAGCTGTTTTGTAATAACTGCTAATTCTGAACTATGTATGGTAAGTTGTTTTGTAATACCTGCTAATTTTGAACTATGTATGGCAAGTTGTTTTGTAATACCTGCTAATTTTGAACTATGTATGGTAAGTTGTTTTGTAATAACAGCTAATTTTCAACTATGTATAGCAAGCTGTTTTGTAATAACTGCTAATTTTGAACTATGTATGGCAAGTTGTTTTGTAATAACTGCTAATTTTGAACTATGTATGGCAAGCTGTTTTGTAATAACTGCTAATTTTGAACTATGTATGGCAAGTTGTTTTGTAATAACTGCTAATTTTGAACTATGTATGGCAAGCTGTTTTGTAATA